AAGAGGATTTCTGCTTTTCACCGTAGATACCTCCAAATCTGAGCCGTAACATCAATTGTTTCAAATAATCCTTTGTGTCAGGGTCTTCCAGGATATGGAATAACAAAAGAGCAGAGCAGGATTTTGACTGAGCATTTGAAAATATGCTAATTGCTTTAGCCAATTGATAGATTAAAACAGAAATGCAGTATTTACCTAATTCAAGGTATTTCCCTCAGTAAATATTGAAAAATCTTCAGAATACCAAAATTATACTGAGGCTTTTTTCCCAAATTCTGAGACTGGTTCTGAATTACATGTTAAAGCAAATAATGAAGTACAGCATTAATATTATAATGAATGTTATATTCTATTCATTGCATTTATATTATAATCAGACCAAATTTTTAAGAGTTTTTTTTTCTTTTTTTGTATAGTTTTCTGCATTCAAACATATTTCCTAAAATTTGCAGTCTGTTTTCCACTTCATTCTCAAAACATAATTTTAGAAACTAAGATTTTAATTTTTTTAAGTTGCAATACTTATAATGTAAATAAATAGCTAGTAACTCAATTAGAAGTACAAATGTAAATTTTCAATGATCCTTCCAAAAACTCATAATGCGTCCACTATACACATCAAAGGCACACCTGTTTCTGTTTATACTTTTTATTGGCAGATTTAAATATGCTAATAAATATAGTAGACTGTAAAGACAATACAGAAGAACCAAGTGATAACTGGAAGTAAATGCACTTTAAACAGACTGGTGATAAACCAAACACTTATGGAGTGGTGCATTCAGGTCTGATTTGCACTGCTCTAATTAACTGAACACTGTTAGTTAGACACAGGAATTTTTTTTTAATTGTGAAAATTCTATTTTCTTCTCACATTTGCCACCTTGAAATCTGAGAAACAACCATTAGCAGAAACATGCAGTTAGTATTAGCCTGAAAAATAAAAGTCACAAAATGCATGGAAGCACTGCCTTGTTAATACCTGGAGAGCACTGATTTCATTATTCCTCTTATCTCTCGTTTGTAACATATTTTGACTACATAGATCTGTGCTTTTATTTATTTTTTTACTTGTGATTTCTTTCCTTTAGACATGTAAAATACATTTATCATTTCTCACGTTACATCCAGGTGTCGGATTTCGAGTTCTCCTGTTCTGGTATGCCTCCCATCTGTCTTGTATTGCAAAGTTATGTGAAGACTTTCAATTCCTCATATCCAGTCCTCTTCTCAGATTTCAATAGCAGCAAAAGGGCCGTATTCTCAAAGCCATAAGACTATTTCTAGGTAAACTTTAAACTAAGATACGTCAGCAAGTTGGAACCACAAAATTAAATTACATAATATTCTTATCAGAAAAAGATAACTATTCACTGACAAATAGATATGGTCAATATAAACTTGAATAGCAACATACTTGTGGATTTATTTCAAAGGCTATCTTGTTTAAATGATCTTCAGAAATTCCTTCATAATGCAAGTAGAACTAAATGCCCGATGCAAATGATTTCCTGCAAGTGTTTGCTTAGATTTTAAAACAAAATTGCTTCATTACTGCTTGTTACTTTTTTCTGTTCATTTACCATAGTTATTCAAATAAGGGTTGTCTTTCTATTCAAAGGTAAAATAGGACTAAAGGCAAGTGGTCTTACCTCTTCTCCCCTTTCCTCTATACATTTGATTAAACTTGTATGGATTTCTTGCAAGCATCTGACTCCAAAAAAAGCTGTGGTCACTATATGTAAAAGCAGGAAAAGTATGCCAAAGGGCTTTAAGGCTCCATATCCCCATCTTAGTTTTCATCTTCTGAAATGCGAGGACAACTTTACAAGACAGTGAAGAGTTTTGTCACTTGAGTATCAGAGCTTGGGGAAGAACGAAGATCCATGGATGCATGTAAACCCATCCTGAACTGGGTTTGTGTCCAGGTCTCTCTACCAGACTACAGTAAAAATTATGCTGAAATCTCATCCTTGGCCAATTGAGAATCTGCAGGACTGTTTTCTATTACTTGGGTGGCTTGCATTTAATTTGGGGGAGAGGACCTTTGGGGCTGCACTCCACAGATCGCTGCAGCTGCTGCTACTGGACAGTGCATCTTCCCTCTCCCCTTCCACAACTAAGAGTCTGTCAGGCTGGGTTCTGACCAGGATTTTCTTGGCAGTTTGTTGGATTTATCTTCTTCACAGAGCAGTGATGCCATGCTAGGTCATGGATAAGCCCTGATCTCTCATATAGTTGGATCCTGATGATACATAATTAAATGCAAACTCAAAATTCCATGTAATTATTACACAGGGATAATTTGTCAGTATAACACAATTTCAGTTAAACAAAAAAGGCTGTGGCCAGATAGAGGATGCAACTATAAGAAACTGCACCAATGAATGCATAAACTTTCAGTTAATGGCTTAACACTACCCAGTCCAAAGGCTCAGGAACTTCCATTTCTTGGAGCTCAGACACCTGAATTGTCCACAGAGCTGCATGCTGAATGAGACACAGTTGCTCACTGCTGTTGTTAGAAAGAATTCGTTTGATGCGAACTCTAAAAATAAGGAAATCCCAAACTCTAACTCTTTTTACAGGTTTCCTGTGACAACTGGCAATATATGATGTTATGACACAATGTACTTTAACTGTGTCATGGTGAGAAGAATTCTTGAGATTCCTGATAATGGCAGCTGGTTATACTTAGGAAAGAAACACATCTTGTTTTTGTTATTCACCACTAACTGTGGGGAGGAAGACAGCATCTTTCATACACTTACAATTGGTTCAAAATTAAATTCCTTGGAATCAAAAACATTGAATAACTTATGTCAGTGTCAGTGACAAGGTAATGTATGAAGGACACAGTTCTACCTTTAAAATTAATCATCCTTAAACAAAACAAAAATAATTTGATGGCATACTGATCTCCCAGTCACTGTTAGATCAAAGAGAAAATGAAAGGATTTTAAACAGTTTATAACCATAGAGGGAAAAATTCATCTGAGGGGAAAACAATACCAAACCATCACACAGCAAAAACTTTTATCTCTGGCAGTCCCTCAGCTAGTCCTTCACAACTTTTGATTCAGGAAATCAGGGATATTATGTGAAATGCAGCAATCCACAAGCAGTAACAAGGTCTTAGGTACATGTGCAGACTTGTCTGAAGGTGCCAAAGAAATTAAATCACATGAGTTTAGGCAGCCAGGGTCAAGGGAAAAGGGAATTTACAACTTCAGCATGTGTCAAGCTTGCTCATCAAAGTTATTACTTTCTCCAATTACCTTTTCTCCTAATAGACCTTCTGCAAGAAATGGTGCCTCCACTCTGGCCTCAAGGGTAGTTGCTGAACTTATGAAAGCCTGTCACCCTCACACAGCCTTTCTAAGCATTTAGAGGGCATTTTGTGACCTTGTGATGTGTGGAAGACACATAGAAAATGTGTTTGGGTCCAGCTTGCCTAAAACATACCTGTGTCTTTAGGGCTGGCTATTGGCTTGTGAGCGTCACAGTAGGGAAATGACATGCAGAAATGTAACCGTGGCTGATTATCTCATTAAGAATAAAAACTTTAAATCATGAAGTAATAAATTCTAACCTTACTGCAATAAAACATTTGCAAAGTAAACAACACACGAAGCATGAATATTACTGGATGATTTGGACATAATTTATAATTAACTTATTGCTGGCAGCACTACCATATAAAATGAGACAACATTCAACACATTCAAGGCCACATCCTTGTATGCTCTAAAATTAAGAATTATAAAGATAGTTATCCCAGAATAATTATATCAGTTTCACTGGCACTTTGGACAAGTCTGTGGTAACACTTCAGCTTAATATAGTGACCAATTTAAACTAAACATTTGTTTAACATATTGTCGTTGTGCAATATGGATTTAAAAGTATGATCTGTAATCTTGGTGGTTTTCATTAGTCTGTAATCTTTTATTGTAATTTATCTAAACTATGTAAGCATTAAGATTGTAGGATTATGACCAACATACTAAGGTCAAGTCTGTTAGAAAAAAACACAGAAGTTTCTATATTAACAAGTTCTTTGAAATGTGCTGCAATTTATAAACATTACTCAGGAATGCAATTATTTTTCAGTGCCATGAATTTCAATACAACTACTTGCAAATATTGTATGAGAGCAAAAGTGTTCAAGGGCCTTTGATTGCAAAATACAGCCAATTAACTAGTGGGATAGGTTCCCTAGACAGTGGGGAGTATCTACTCCTGGTAGTCTTTAAGAGCAGATAAAAGAGGATCCATCCAGGACACATGGAGGTGGAGCTGACCCTGCCTTTTAACAGGGATCTCGACTGAATTACGCTCCAGGATTGGCCTTCCACCATTCCTTGTTTCACTGCACTCCTTCCTTGGCCTGACCCTTTATCTGTATTTAGCTTTCAGCTCATTCTTGAAGCCTCAGCCACCCTTACACTCCAGAAACCACACAGATTGACACAATGAACTGGTGTAATACTCCTATTCTGCATGCGCATTATTTTCTTTTGCTTGCCTCTTCCTTGTATTTTAGGGAGCATACACTTCCCCATGTGCTTGCATGGATATGGGTAAATTCCAACCACCAGAAGGTCCCACTCCTGACTAGCCTTAAAATTACCCCAAAATAAATGTCTGGTGACAAATGTTCCTTAATAAAATTGTATGGGTACATCTCACAATGTCATCTCACAGCTGTGACGCAGTGGGCAATAGCTGAGACTGTACAGTACACAGAGGTGACACATTTTTTCTAAAATAAAAGTATGAGCAAATATCTAACAGCAACATTAACTTACATTATGTCATCAGTTTTGAAGAGGAAATTACTCCATAGATTAATGAGGAATTCTGCATGGAAGTCAAAGTTATGATGTAGTCTTATAGCATTAATCAAGAGCTAAATGTGATCTGACCTACTTCAAACAGCCCAGCCTTTAACAGAGAGAAGATTAAAAAAAGGCAGAGTATGAGAGTCCATATTTATCGCTGATGTAACACCAACAAAGCCAAGAGAATCCCTTGAAGTTCTGAGTGCCTCAGAGCACCACATGGCAAGTGCCACAGGTCATCTGTAATCTGCAAGGTATGATGGATTGAAAAAGCAATGCCATTTTCCGCTCCTATTTAGGAAACATTATACTAAGAAATAAAATCTCACAAGACTGTATTCCAGAAAAATATTTATTGCCATGCAACAATGGATGTATCAATTCACTAAACAATTTTACAAGTTCAAATATGAACTCATTTTAGGAAGTCCTCTGGAATGAACAAATCATAAGGTTTTCTAGAAAAACTGATTTTTTCTATATTATACACAGTAAACATAATTATATTTTATATAACTCTATTGAAAAAGCAGTGAGAAATTAAACAGGCTATATTTTATTTTCTCAAAACCCTAAAACTTGGAGATCATTCATCCATCTGATCAAGTCAGACTTATTAGGCTGATCCCCAGACACAGTGATTCCCTCTTCCTTGGTGCTGACACCAAACAGGATAGTGTTCCCAGGCCCCCCTGGAGCTATGTTCTAAAGAGAGAGACATTAATAGATAATGACTGGGAAGAGAACACATAAATACCTTTTAAAAAATTAACAAACCTCGATTTCCTTGGACACATGAGCAATAAGAAAAAACCCAATATCTTTTTAGGAAATACCTCTAAAAATTCCTTAGTCATGACTTGCTTCCGGCTTCACACTCCATGACAAGGGGCACTATTTTCTTGTGATGTTGAGAAGTGTCCACCCTGGCCAAAGTTCCTAGCCACTGACAGCCCTTCACATTTAGCATTTTCAGTCACTCTCATCAGGCTCTCTTAACCAAGGGCTGCATTTCCAAAAGAACAAGACCCTTGCCAACAAACTTGAAATTCAGCAGTCCCACAGAAGGGGGACTAAAGGAGCTGTTACTTTCCCACTATTTCCAGAACAGGTCTGTGTCACACTGTTTACATCATGCATCATTCATCTGCTGTGATGAAATGCAACCCCGTGTTTTAAAAAAAGACTTCTGCAACAGTGAGGATACTCTATCTTTGTGAGAAGCATGTCACATATTTTCCATAGGCATCAACTGCTCCTGCTTCTATTTAAATCTGTGTGGCCCTCTTCAGAGGGCATTATTCCCTCCAGGAAGCCCATTCAGAAGGTGCTGAGCAGAAGGAGGGGAGAAGCCAGGATGGCAGCAGACAGCAGTATGGCTCCCGAAGAAAAGCCGAGCGCAGCTCCTGTGAGAAGGGCTGTCCACAAGATCCGGATGGCCAGCCAGGTCTTCAGCTTGGCTCGAGGCTGGCAGCAGTGGGCATCTGACCACCATGGAAAGCAAGAGCAAGAGCCCTCTGGATGGGTCCCCACTGCAGAAAGCTCATCAGCTCAGCCTGTACAAGAAAGTTCCTTTGAAAAATGGCAAATTCCATCCGTCAAGAGGGACCAAGAAAAAGATGATGAAAAATCCTTAGCAAAGGATTCAGTGACAATAAGAGATGCTGAAAAAAAATCAAGGGAATCAGACGAAGATCTCAAAACGTTCAGCATTAAAAGCAAAGAGGTGACCAAAACAGTTGTCAGCAAAGCCTATGAACGAGGAGGCGATGTCAGCCTCCTCAGTGAAAGATACGAAAATAACAACAGCAGCTCCGAGATGACCAAACTCAAAGAAGAATCAAATGCTATTGACAAAATTCTTAGCAACAAATTACCTTCAACCATAAGGAGGAAGTGTTCAAATGTAGTGTCAGAGATGACCAAGGGCTGGGAGAAGATGGAAGACGAGAACAAAGATGGGGCCAAGAGAGAGCTGCTGCTGAAGTGCCGTGATGACAGCCTGGATGCCCAGGACAGTGGCTATGGGGAAGCAGAGGACAAGCTCGAGCAGGAGGACAGTGACCAGGAGGTGACAGCTGTGAGGATTAAACGCCCTGTCCCATCTCTGTAAGTAAAGCATCTTCATTACATCAACACAAATGGCAGAAGGGCACAGCTTTCCATGAGGAAAATGGTGGGGGTGGGAGGATAGTAGGAAGTGGTCAAAGATAAGCTATTATTCTTGATTTAGAAGAAATTAATCAAAATTCAGGAGACCTTCCACTTATCACTCTGTGCTTAAGTAGTTACTCAACAACATCAGACTATGTACCTAATACAAGATTAGGAAAAAAGTTAGGAAGTTATATTGTTATATTTGGGACATGTTAATTATATTTAATTTTCACACTGGATTTACCAGTTCATCAAATTATCTACTTATTTCTTAATACTTCAGTCCATGTTTCAGAATCACAACTTTTACCTCATCAAGAACCTTTAGCTACTCATTTATTTCAGCAAATGCTGTCTAAATCAATATATTTGACAGGTAATATTTCCAAATACTTATTCATTATTTTGCTTAGTATTAATTGCAAATACTCTCAGGAGCAATTTGAAGAGAATGTCCCAAATTAATATAGCAGGAATTACTTCCACATACTTCTTACCAAAAGTTGGAAGCTTCTTTGGAAGCTTTCCATGAATTTGAAATTCCTCAATTCAAAGAAAGGAAAATTCCACAGTATCTTGGACCACAAGTTCATACCATATCCCAATCACATTTCCAGAAATTAAAAACTGGATCAGCACTGATGATGAAAAACTGATGAAAATGCCATAACAGACTTCGTGATCCCTGTGCAGACAGGCAGGCAGGCTGTATCATGGTCACTATTTTGGTTTTACACCTCACTACTGATGAGCATTATCATGACCATTAGACTGTGGCTAACACACTTATGAATTTCAACCATGCAGTACCTTTAAGCACAGCTATCTGAACACACACTCCCAGAGCTATTTTAACTATTCAAATGGAATTAGAATGATGCTTTGCTGTACAGCTGAGCAGTCAGCTCCTGTAAGAAGAAAATGGTTAACAGCCCAAGTGAAAAAAGCTCCCCAGAAATCTAGGGCTTGAAATTTTTGGTACCTCTTTTGGCAAGGACTGTGTTCACCATCCTTTCACAGAAGTTATGACCTCAAAACAAAGATTCCAAATATACAGTGGAAAAAAGATACATTTGCAGCACTTATCTGTAAACAACTTCAATTAAAACAATTTTTTTCAGTTTCAAATGCTATAGTAGAAACCAACTATCTAGCTTCCATTAAACCAACTGTCTTGTAGACCAACTATCTAGCTTCTGTTAAACTTTTCTTATATTTTCCTCATATGCATAATTTTAGTGTTACTGCCATGAAAAAAGATTGATATGCCATATTTACTGTGATCTAAATTATTGAAGTAACACCCTCTATGTTACTTACAGCTCTTTCTTCCACTGAAATTGAACACAGAACTAATTTTCTACAGTTACAGTGCTGCTATCAGGACTGAACTTTTTAAACTATTCATATTTTAAAATTTATTTTACAGCCTCAGAACATAATATTTCAGCCTGCTACATTTATGAACCTTTCAATGTGGTTTAATCTTCTTCAAAAAGGCCATAAGTACACAGTTGCTAAAGCATATCGCCTATTTTCCTATCCACATTCCAGGAAAAAAGCATCTGTAAAAGTGTTTTGTTTTCCTCACATCAGCATCTTCATTATTTCCAGCTTCACTGCTTACTGGAATAAGGTTGCTTCCTTAGTAGACAGCTTGTTGACTGGCATAAGAGGCTCTTCTGAACTCTTCTGTTCACGATTAGAAGCAAAAAGGATGCAACAGAAGGGATATGAAACTCAAAACATTATAATAGGATTCATACCTTTCCTCTACAGACAGAAACAGGGCAAATATGCTACATGGACCTAATTTGCCTAAAAGGTCAGGTCCTAAATCCTAAATGCATTTAGGATGTCATTCTGGTAAACAGGTTAACTTACTTGATTGCTGGATGTAAAGCACTTCTTAGAGTGGGTAGAAGTTCAAAACCTTCACTTTGGGTGCACAATCCTTTGTGTAGGAGAAGTAGAAACAGGAGAAAATGCCTCTATGTGTACACAATTCATGTTTTAAACCTATCATTAAGCTAAACAATGGCAAAAATAGCACTTCAGCAACTAGAAATGGTTAAATTACAAGCTGCATTAAAAAAGTAAGGTTTTTTTTCAAGCCCATGTGCGGCACAATAAAAGCAAAAGGATAGATAAGATGGTTTTCTCAACCACTGAGAAGATTATTTGGATGAGGAAGGCAATAATAACCTGCTAGAAAGGAAAATTAGTTTCAGTGGAAAAAGGAGGGATTACATTCTAGACCACTAAATTAAAGTAAGTAACGAAGACTGCACAACCTCCTGCTGTCTCAGGCCCCCTCTCCTCTCCACTCAACCTGGGGAACCGCAGCTCTAGGACTTTGTCAGAGCTCATGGTCCCTGGAGAGAAGGCGAAGCAGCTGGCTGTGGCTGAGGAATAAGCCCTCCATAATGATATCTACTCATAAACTCCACTGAGACTGAGGACATCACTTCTTCAAGGTAATTTTGATTCTCTTAGGATTTTTTTTCCCCCAGCCTTAACTGATAGCTTCCACATGGAGAGCTAGTGAAGCAATCTGAGCTTCAGCTGGAGTTCAGACTGTGCTGGTACAGGGTTTCTGTGACTTTTGAGACAGCCATAGGCTTCAGGAGACAAATTCCTTTGTATAGCCAAATCCTGAGCCCAGGGTTCCTCTGACAATGAAGGCACAATTCAGGTGAAGGGACAAAGGATCACAGCTCTCCCTTTCTCTGTATGACAATAGCTTATAGAGAGCAGCATTTGGTTTATTGTTGGAAAACCAAATTGCCTAGATTTACCCCACTAGTATATTTTAATGCTTTCCTGCCAACACCTACCTGTTAGCCATTTACACAAAATTACAGGTACAGACACGCTGCCTACTCTCAGGATGCTCTGTAGTCACACCACAGAAGAAAGGTGCACTTGGCAACAGTATGCTCAATTCTTCTGATGGTTTTTCACCAAATTGATAGGGAAGAGTATTTTGGAGCATTTTAAACACAGTTCCTCAATACAGCTAAGCCAATCTTAGGGCAACTCCACAGCTAATAAGGTAGTGCAGCTCTCCTAATTATTTTCCTATCCCTGGCACTTAGTGTTTGCAACTCTTACCCTAGCATAGCCCTGCCCAGTACTGGCCTCTTTCTGGTGCACTGATCTGAGTTAGGGACATCTCTATGACTCCTATTCTCTATTTCAACCAGCTTAGTAGAAAACAAAGGAGTGTCTAAACAGCGGGGGGACAGAATTTTCTGCAACTTTGCAGCCCTGTGTGTTGTTTGCTAAGTGCATTTTGATTTTCTAGTGTTAATATTCAGCTGACATTACTGGGAAGGTTGCAGGGCAGCCTTTTGGGGAATAAAAATATTAGAAAACAAATTACTTTGGCACAGTCACGGCACAGCACAGTCCCAACTGAGTTCAGTACATATACATTGACAGGATGTGGACAGCACAATGACTAGCTCAGACTATCTATAGCTCCCCCACAACATGTGAGATTGGCCACAAGAGGATAGAATGTCTGTCTGGAATAATCCAGAACTATTACACATATTAAAAAATAAAATAAAATCTCTCAAGGTCCTTCCTTATCCTTTGTCCTTGACACTTTCAGGCTTCTACGCTACCCATGGGAATGTGAATTTTGGACTTCAACATTTGTTCAGAATCATGTTCCAAATACAGGAGCACAGACAGAGCTATGACACTCAATTAGGTATTTGTTGTTGCTGTAATAATTGATATTTATTACAGAGGACATTTTTCTAGGCACTACCCTCTAGTTTTCAGCCAGGTTTTCATACACCTACAGCAATCAGCAATCACCTTCAGCCAGATCATACACCTACAGCAATCTCTAACCTCGGGGCAGGCACACTTCAGACCTGGCTAAGCAAGCAGGAATGGGGAACTGCATGACTGACCAAAGGTACAGAAAGTGCAGGTGATGAGCAACATGCTGTTTTGTTCCCTTACAGAATTAAGTCATTCTGGTACAAAGTTTGTGAAAACACGCTCAGAGCAGGGCTGGAAGGTGGTAGTGTAGACAGGATAAGGCTGTAGTCATGGAACTTGCCTTTGTGTGCAAACTGAATGCGGACAAACAGCCCCTAGAGAACTAATTTAGAAGTGGTGATCTTGTGCCACCTGGTGGATTCCAGCTCACCCCTAACCCACAGAAGCCAGTTACAGCAGATTTCAATAAACAGCAGAAGTGCATCAGGAAAGGAGGAGATGCAAAGCTCAGGTGTGTTTCTGTGTCTTTCAGCGCCAGCCGGCTGAGCGAGGAGGCGCGGAGCAAGGCGCGCAGGAAAAGCAGCGCCGTGCACAGCCTCAAGGACAGGTGGCAGGAATGGGCTGACCAGCACATCATAACGCAGAAGCTGAACCCCTTCAGCGAGGAGTTTGACCACGAGCTGGCCATGTCCACGCGCCTGCACAAAGGGGATGAAGGGTACGGCCGCCCAAAGGAAGGCACCAAAACTGCTGAGAGAGCCAAGCGAGCTGAGGCGCACATCCACCGGGAGATCAGGGACTTGTGCTTCATCATTGAGTCCATGGCCAAGCCGCGGCCCGACGGCAAGATCCAAGTCACTTTTGGGGAACTCTTCGACAGATACGTTCGTATTTCAGATAAGGTTGTTGGGATTCTCATGAGAGCCAGGAAACATGGGCTGGTGGACTTTGAAGGAGAAATGTTATGGCAAGGAAGAGATGATAATGTCATCATTACTTTATTAAAATAAGTTAGGCTATAATCAGAACAACTTTGGAAAAGTTTTCTCCTCTTCTCCCTTGCCATTAGCATTTGCACATTTTGAACATAAGGTTCCCTTGTTCACCACATAGAAAAGTGTATTTTTTGAAATATGTATTTTATAACAAGTGCATGAAAACCCAAACACCCAAATGGACTTCATTTTGTACCAGAAGTGCTTTCAGGACAATTAAGTTAATTACTACATTAAAAATAAGGAGAAAAAGCTATATGGAATATAAGCAGCTGATGATAAAAGTCCATAGCAATATAAATAGCTACAGGAATAGGAAACATACCAGATCAGAAGCTAAATAACAAAATAAACTCAGACAAAGGTTTTGATCTGAAAAATGCTCTTGTGCATGCACTTTCTAATTAATTGATTTAAATACCAGTAAAATTACCTTATTTTAATACAGAATCAAAGATACATTTTTTTTCTTTTCAAGCACAATATGTAACTATCACTGCAGTATTCTCTTGTTGATACAACTGTTGACACAGCTTTCTCTTACATGTCACATAAAAAAAACCTTTTTATAAATGGGGTTTTATATATTTATTGTATTTATATAACTAATTTTTTAGATTATTTCATATGTAAACTTATGGAGTTTGGAATGTAATGAATAAAAATGTTTTGATTAGATAGCTACCTAAAAAATACCTTCTATGTAATGTTGTGCAATGTCTTATCTGATTATCTATGCTGATACTGTTCTTATAAATACAGGAAAAAAGAATATGTAACATATAAAAACTAGCCAGGTACTTGTACTTTTGTATACAGCAGAAAAGTGACTAACATCTTCATATTCCATTGAAATGTACCTCTGTGAAAAAAGAGAAACAGCATTCATAACTTTGAGGAAAATGTTGTTCCACATTACACAGAAATACTGACCTAATTTTACAGTATTTGCCATTCCAATGTCACTAAAATAATGTATTTCAGTCCAGGTGATGCTAGAGAGGACTAGGTGCTAATGAACTAATAGTTTTAGGACTTAAAATTGTATTATTCACAAATCTGAGATCTCTGTAAGGTCTCTGCTACTTGCTGAATTAGAGATCAGTTTGTCTACCATTGTAAAAATAGCTATCCTGGTAAAATGTGTGTACTTCACAGGAAAAGCATTTGTTTCAGAGCAGATGCTTGGGCAAGTAATGAAAAAGAAGTGGTTTTTTCCCCCTTAATATTCTTTCAAACTGAAAACACAAATATCTTCTTAGAGAAGTAGAGGTGTACCAATATCTTGTCTCTGAAAAAATAAATATTGCTGTCTTATTATGAGTACAGGTACTCCAGTTTGAAGCACTGTTATATAAATAAATCAAATATTTTATAACTCAATGATACAAGAACTGACTACATCTCTTCTAAATCTATGTAAATCATTAATACTTAGGCATAGTTATATTATATGACTCTACAGAAGAAAAAATTGTAAGATGGAATCATTGGAGATTATTTAATGTTTTCCTGACATCTCTTAGACTACTCAAGCTGACCTAAAAAACTGATGTCTTAGTGTAATACTTACATATAATAATTTTTACCTGCATATTCTTGCCTTATCCTTTACATCTTTATATAAAGACCTTTTATAGCTGTCTAAATTGTCTTGATAAAATTTTGTTGTCAAAGGAATACATGAACTCCTTAATTATTTCTTGGGTTATTCTCCCACACACCAGGAAACAAATACATGTGCACATTCAATGAAGTAAAATATCAGTAAGTTGCTTCAAAATACAAGCATACATATATTCTCCTTTTCATAGGCTGTTAAAATAGTTCCCCTGAAGGTTTCTCTGTCCAAAGCACCAGAAAAAGATTTCAGAGTACATGGCAACAGACCTTATACAAAACACCTGCACAAAAACTACACACTAAAGGCATGTAAGTGTTAAGTGAATTAAGCTCATCGATTGGTAGCTCACTGCAGGTAATTTAAGCCTCCTATTCAGTCATCCCAGCGTTAAAATCTACACAAAATAAACCAAACCCCTAACTTTATCCTATGCTTCCCCTCAAACTATTTTATTTCCAATCAGATGAGAAAATCACAGGACATAACTAGTATTTTTTCTCATAGTACCCTCCACTATTTACCTTTTTGTAGGCAGTATCATGCAAAATTTCTGAAATAATTTACCATTTTTGTCAAAAAGAAATATTTAATGTTGATATAAGTAATGGTGCTTGGAAGCATTTCATGTAGGTTATATGCTTTACAGCATTTTTTACATTAGGTTGTGTGACAAATTTATCCATGGTGTGGAAGGTAATAAATCTGACCTCAGCAAAAAACAAAACCACCCTAATTACCCACCCTAACTCTCCTACTATACTGTGTTACATTTTTGTGAAACTAGCACAACCTCTGCCAAAATTAAATATTTTAATTTTAAAATATTTTCATTTTAAATATTGAAATAGTTAATATTTAAATTTTAAATATTAAGCAGGTCAAAACCTGCTTGATTAAAGTAGTCTCTGTAAATTTTTATTTAAGTCCTGCTTTCCTAATTCTGACCTGCTTTGAAAATAAAACCTTTAACCTTTGAGACAATGAGCAACTCTCAGCTACTCTCATGATAGCTTATAGTTGCACTTTCTTTCCTAAATACTGTATTCACTCCCACAATGTTTTACTTGAAACAGGTCCTGCACTCTCCTGTCTGAAGCTAGTGCTGGTTTTGCACATCCTTGGTAGTGAAAAAATTCTATCTTCTTCTGTAGCAACTTAGATACATTTTTCATATTCTAATACAAAGTTTAAGTGGCAGCATGAAACTTGTATCAGAAGAAATAAATTTGACTTTTACACCTTTGCATTTTTCCAAGTCTTACCACAGTGGCTTGAAGTGAGTGGAAGGTTCATTGGACATATACCCCACCCAGCAGAAATCAGCTCCCTCCTCCACAGCAATAATTCCTTCTTTACAAATGTTTCTGTACAAGCAAGGTTCAGTAATACAGCTCATTTTTAAAGCAGGGAAAGGCTATTGAAATAAAATGAGCTGTAGGGAAGAGCCTACTCTTCATGGTGATATGTTCAATCATCACTCATCAGAGAACAGATAACGGCAGGCCCTCCTCCCACAGCCATTTCAGCTGCTATGTACACATTGCACTGCCCCAACATCTCAACTAAAGCCACTGCTGACACCTCAGGGCACGAAGCAGTTCAGCATTTAACAGCACATGTTATTAGTGCAATTATCACAGGAGAAAACGAACTATGATTACACAGCTGGTAAGGTAAGCAGGACAGCAGAAAACAGAGCTGGCGCTGGCACTTGTGCAGAGACAGCCAGCAGGACTGGCTTGCACACACTGCCAAGTACACCATTCCCTCAGCTGGACAACTCCTCTCTCTGCTACAGAAGCACAGCGTAGCTCTCTACCACTGCAGTAGAACGTACTCTTTAAGAGGAGAAAGAGGAGTTTTTTTCCCTTAATTGAGCTCCAAATGGCAATGACAACAGCAAAATACCCTGATGACACTTGCTGTTTTATGAAGGGAGAACATATCAGTGTGATTTAAGATGCAAATACTGAATGAAGAATACAAGATTATTTTTTATTTGAAGTCAAAGGAATAGTCAATGTTCTTACTCATCTTCCAAGAGCAAATTTTATGCATACATTCTAATTCCCATACAAAAAATTAACTCTAATGCAATATAAACAGGTGAGGAGGAAGATGCAAGCACAAGCCCTAAGCCATAAATTATGACCTTTCTGCAGATTACACAAAAACAGTAACTAACAGAGATAGGATTTAGAGCCAAAAGGTGTTAATTGAAAAATTCCATGTTTGGATCCCAGGTACCCAAATAAAAAATCAAGTTACTCAATGAATCCATCTAAGTACTGGATGCTGAGACACGCTCTTCTGGCAGTCAGCTCCAGATAACGGGTCTCATAAGCCTTCAGGGAATGTCAAACTTTCAATGCTTTACAATCACAGAAGCAAACCTTTCCAAGAAAGATGGAAAGGAATTCTACTGCAGAAAAAGGATAATGAACTGAAGGCAGAAGGGACATCAAGAATGTGCTTCTATGTGTGTCATACAGAAATTAACTATACCTCTGATGATAAAATTCATGGTCTTGCCTAAAAAGACATGCACTACTTTCTCTAGATCCTTTACACAGTCAGTTGCTTCACCAAGTATTATTGCTACAGTCACTTCTGCTTTAAATCAAATGTTCTTCTATTTCTTAACCAATTTAGTATTTCATAAGCATGATTGCTCACGTATTGCTAACTAAACATTATCCTTTATTTCTACTTTTTTGTTTCCTATTTGCTTTCCCAAGACTGCTCCAATACCTGGCAACATTCAGCTACTGAAGACTTTTGTGTGCTTTCATTTAATTATTGAAATTATACTTATTTATAAATTTCTTCACACCACTCTCTAAAAAAGTAAAATATGCGTTATTTGCAATATGAAATTAGGATAGAGACCATGCAGTTGAATTAACGCTTTTATCAGCAAGGATGATCTGAGACTTTTCTTTTTCCCTCTCCTTCTTCAAAATGGTTGAAGACAATTTATTTCATTCCCTTAAAAAGCCCCAGAAATGCCAAAAAATATAAGAAAATGCATCCTATACATTCAGTTGTTAAATGAACAGCAAAAGCCAGCATTTGTGCTTCTACGTAAACTTGACCTTTTAAAAAAACTCCAACTCAAGTTTATTTTTACATATATTTAGATTTATTTGCTATACATCACTGTGAGCTTATAGTACTTGAAATCCATTACAGGATTTTTTTTTTGTAATAATCAGTTGTAACTCCACAAAGACAATAATACTGCTGTGGAAGACCAAAGGGGAGAAAAGCCATTTCAATTTATTTACAGTTCCTTATTTTGTAAACATTTACTCTACACATTGTACTAAGTTCTAAGAAGGATAAAGAGATATACATAGAGACAGGAAACAGAGCCCTGTTTTTCTATTCATATTGAGCATTAGCATATTATGGATGAAACATCTGCCCTTTCTCGTTACCATAGCAGTAAGCTGTCTTCAAATAAGTTTTTTTTTTTTTTTTAACTTTCCAGAAATGTAAATATTTTGAAATATACAACTACATCTACTAGCCAACCCATTTGGCTTTTATTCCATTTCTAGAATAATTTAAAGTGCTATAAGCAACCCGTCAATCAACACTTTTCTATAATAACAAAACTACTTTAAACATTAATTTACAAGATAATATACAATGTTTGTCTGAAATAGCTGAAATTTCAGCACAAAGTCAGTCACTGTCACACTTAACAGCAATTTTTTTGTTCTTTTTTGTTTTGGTTTTTTTTTGCAGAACATAGAATAAAAGCTTTGAAACAAACAGTTTTGTTCAGCTGTTATTGCCACAATGGCTTATCAAGTTTTCTACAAAAGTGAACAAGAGCTACTGGAACTGTATTCTAGCCTGTCATTTATTTTTTGAGGTCACATGACAGTAAGTTTGCATATTCCACAAGTCTACTGAATTACAATATTGTCTACCTATGATACATGATGTCATTTTAATCAGAGCTGGTGCTAATTGTAAATTTACAACATAGACCCACTCAAAAACATCACAAATTTTTTTTTCTTTGGACAGGAATAAGCTATATTCTTGGAGCTGAAGTGCTACACGGCTACAACAGTATAACAGTATATATCTGACACTTTATGCTGAAGAAAGATGCATCTGTTTCTGTACTTTTAATGCCCTACTATAGCTACAAATTGTTCACTGAGTTTTGCTTGCTTTAGCCTTTTAGTTTTTTGGAACTATCATATTCTTACATTCTCTTGCTATTTCATAAGTCTTTGCCACTTAGCTCAATATTTTCAGTATTTGTCCCAAACCTGCGGATCATTAACAGCATGTGCAAAACACACTTTAAATACAATCAGCATGCAGCTACAACACATATTAACTGACTTTTTTCTACACATGAACAAGAAACAAGACAAGTGGCACTGTTGACTTTGGATATCTTCTAACTTCACCACGTGTGTACTGGGGTGCATTTAGAAGGAATGCTCAGCTTCTCATCCATTTGTGGCACCACTTGAATAACCCATCATTGGTCTGGACCAATCTCTGCAGTGCTGCTGCCAAATACCCACACGCAGCTTTCTCAGAGGTTCACAGAGGGCAACTTCATTCATAGACATAATTTGAATACAAAAATAATAAGCTATATTCAATGAAGCAGCCCCCTAGCAGGATTGCAGGAAAGGTGTGTGTGGGAAACCTGGGAGGCAACTGTAATATGGATAAGAAAATTTTGCAGGCCACAAGGCTCAAAGTAACTAACGTTAATTTTTAGTCCACAAGGTCAATATTTTGTAAAAGAGTCTATAGCTTAGAAAAAGTATGATAGTATATTACAGATGCAAGAGCATGAAAAAACAGCTGCTATTTAAAAATAATAACTAATGGCCACACTGAAAAATTAGAAAAAAAAACCAAAACAGGTAAGTAAAATACATTATATTGCTCCTAGGGATTTTTAAGCTGCACTGATTCATGTCAGGTTTGGGACAATAACCTGTAGAAATAGTGAAATACTTATTCAAAAGCCCATATTTCTATGTCTTGAATAGTGAAGTCTTCTCGCTTAGAAAGTGTGTGATTCCCAAATGTTTTACATGAATGACTTCTTCCATGGTAGAGATCACCATCAAGCCAAAGAGCAAACTCTCCTCTGCAAGACACACAATGTATTAAAGCAAAAAACTGAGAGAATAACCATTTAATCCATCAATGCATTTTGCACTCAAAATTTAGAAATGAGAAGGAATTAAAGGATTAGTTTTAACACAAGCACCTCATGGCTGTTAATAAATTTATGCTACAAGGATTTCATTTTTTTTTACTATTTATTATTAATTTGGGAATATCCCTCTTGCAGATATTTTGAAATAAGCTAACTAGAGGTTTTCAGCCTCTTCCATTTGTATTAAAGAGATGACATAACAGCACTTTCATATCTAAAGAGAATGCTAGTAACAAATAAGGAAAACATTCTAGAAGCACATGCACCTGCATGGGCAGGAAAAAGCCAGGACATGACAATGATTTCTGGAGACCCTGACATGTTTTGGGGTGGCTCAGCTTCAATTCAGCCCTCTTCTAGTTACACATAATTTTCACATTTACATCCTTCCACAATCATATTTTGTGTCCATTCTGAATACAGGAGGACACACATGCAAATCAAGCATGGAAGGCATCATAACCTTGCAGGGCTGAAACTTTATGCCAAACTACGGGGAAGACAAATCTCCTGTTGAAGTTTTGTCAGCATTGGAAGCTAAACAACTCACATACTAAAGTTTCCTGGCTGGTAACTGTTGAGTCCTAAGCTACCAAACTGAAGTAAATTCCAATTTTTCATTTCAAAGGTGTCTAGACAAATATTTTTAACAGATTCTAACTGCAACTTACCCTCCTCCACCAAAAGCAAGAGAGTCCATGTCTCCTTTAATGAAGAACATGTTGTCTCCCGTCCACTTAAAAACCTAAGGGGAAAAAAAAACCAAAACAGACCAGCAAGTAAAAATATCTGAACTTTTCATTTTGGCAGAAGGGAAACCAACCATCATTAAAGACAGACTATGGATGGGTAGAAGTCAGTTTAATGAAGTTGACACACAAAATTCAGGAAACATCTGCAGACAAAAATTCTCTGACATTTTATGCTAATTAAAATAAGATCATTCCAAACCAGGGCGGTTTTGAGCATCAAAACTCCTACACAATGAAAAATACCAAGGAAATATACTTAGATTATATGCCCCTAAAAAGGATGTAGTTCATGAATTTTCAGACATGCACCTGGAAGACTTTAAACAGCAGAAAAACCTTCAATACAATTAAAGAGTTGAATGTGTTCCTCAGCATGCAAACACTACCAATTCACTCTGCACTTAAAGATTCCACAGAAAACTAGTGTGATGAATTTTTTTTGGGCCATCTTGTATTATTTTTCAGATTTACAGTTAGGTTTATTCCTTAAGGATTTTAAGATCATGCACTTGGGGTGATGGTGAGGAAGGGAGCAAAAGCATGAAAAGTCATTACTACTTACCTCAAAATCTGGAGAAAAAGTGAACATAAAGGTCTCCCCAGTGCCATAAAAGCCATCGCTCACTTTAAATGGTTCAGATGCTAGTGCACCAAAAACCTGTAGCAAAAATACATCAGAGCAAGAAAAACTTCAGAGAAACAACACAGAATCCAAGAACCTCTAATGATAGTAGCTGATAAATCAGGTTGTAAATAATGTAATTTTGAAATTCACTCTCTGAATTTCACTGCACTACAGTTCTGAGAGAGGGCCTTTGCCATGTAAACTTGAAAAAGCAGGATAGATGAGACACTTTTTCCTTTTTGTTATTTCAAGCATCTGGGTCAACAGACTAGACTTCAGAAATCTGGCTGTTAACTTTTCTTTGCCAAACATTTTGTGACCTTAGACTGTACTTAGTGTGTACAGATAAGTGAACTTATATAGAGCATTTTTAGCATTAAAAAATCCATACTGAATTCAAATTTAGTTTCATCAATAAATACATCAAAATGGGCTGCTGAAATACATAATCCATATTTAAATATCTTCATGCCTATTTTCCAGCAATAGAAACCCTTGAAATTATTGCTTAGTCCTCAAACTATTTGAGTCTCTGTATCCTAACTTCTTTTATGGGCTCTAGTCATTTTTGGAATAACTGCAGTTCTGGTAGCTAAGTTACATTCAGGTAGCTGTGATATACCTTACTTCAGATAAATATCCTTAGGGCTGATACCACATCTAGTAAATAAATATAAGTTAAAAAGATAAAAGTAAATCTAAGTTTTCATTCACAACAGATATTCCTTGAGAGAAATTAACCTTCAGCTAAAGTATCAAACAGAGCTTTGTCAAACTTATACTATCTCAGTTCAGCCTCTAGACAGGTGTAAACTTAACACAACACTTATACTAGTGTTTATATTGGATCCTCTCAAAGATGTTATCTGTGTATCCAGTAAAACACAAAACTAGTCCATTCTAACCATGTAGAAGACCTTAGGTATTTTACTTAAGAGACTCTGAAGCTTTATTTCTAATTATGGAATACATTTAGCTATCAAGAATCTCAGACAGTCTCCCTACTCAACGAAGGACTGATTTGAAGCTATTAGGTTGACTCAGTTTTGTCCAGTTGAGCTTTGAGTACCCTCAGGAATCAGGATTTGACAATCTCTCTGTGTTCTATATACATCAAGCTGACCCTTGAAAGACCACCTCTCTGCTATAAGCAACAATAAAAGAATAAGGTTTTACAGAAAAAGTGCAATTTGCTTCCCAACAGTTACTCTAGTTCTTGAGAAGGGATGTCGCTAGGATTTTTCCATGAGATCTGATTTTTGTGACTAGTTGTTAGGGTGGATAGCTAGAATCCCGATGTCCTAGGTTCAATCAACCAGTCTCACCTGCAGTGCATACAATCTGAACAATGAGTTTTTTATAAAACTAGACAGTCCTTGAAGTGGTTAACTGCATTAATCCCATTTCTAGACCACCACTTATTTAGTGACTCATGCTCAGGAATCAGGTACCAATTTCTTTTTAAAGGCTCTCAGGGTTCACTAACAGAAGCACATACCAGTAGACAGACAATCCATAACAATTTTAACGATGCAACTATAGATTTCATGGACACCTTTATTAAAGAACTCCCTAGAATTGACTGGAGCAGGCAATTTAGGTTGCTTTAGATTCTAAATTCCAACTAGGCATTGCTCAACTTTTACACAATTAAAGTTTGTAAAAGTTCAGTGGTTTTCCCTGGTTTTTTTTTCTTTTGTTTGTTTGGGTTTTTTTTTTTTTTTTTTTTAACAGCCATTTACATAAAATTATTAATTGATCTGAAAAAGAAAGCAAGATTGGAAAAGATTTTTGAATAAAAAATTCAGTAGCGTGAGGCTTAGCAGCCTTTAATGGAACATTATGAAGAGTTACAGGGTACACTTGCTCCTTACTCAACCTATTATCAACATAATAAAAAAGCATTCTTCATAAACATGGACACCA